CCTTAGCCACTTGGGCCATAGGTGCCAAGCCATCTTTTCTATTTTTTTGTGGAGATGGGGGTCTTACTCAGTTTGGTCTTGTACTCCTGACCTCATGTGACATTCCCACTTCTACCTCATAAAGTGCTAGGATTGTAGGCATGAGCCATTATGTCCAGGCAAAAAATTTATTCTTTTCTTTCCTTCTTTCTTTCCTTTTTGTTTTGAGACAGAGTCTCACTTTGTTGGATTGATAGCTCATAGCAGTCCTCTTGCCTCAACCTCCCAAGTAGCTGGGACTACAGTCATGCGCCACTAAACTCGGCTAGTTTGTCTATTTTTAGTAGAGATGGGGGTCTCACTCTTGCTCAGGCTGGCGTTGTACTAATGAGCTCAAGCAATCCACTTGTCTTGGCCTCTCAGAGTGCTAGGAATATAGGCGTGAGCCATTGCGCCAGCCCCCTCTTATACTTGTTCTATCCACTGGCTGCCTAGTATGGGCTGTGGCAGCTGCTAGGCATGCACTGATGACCTGGACTGGGCTCTAGGGAAAGGAGGTGACTGGAGAAGGAAAGGCCAGATCCATGGATAGATGACCAGGAAGAGTGGGGGAGTGGAGAATTTGCAAGCTGCACTCAGGTTGACCCTAGGGAAAATCATCTCTTGGTTCAACTTACAGACAGTGCATTGAGAACTCAGAGGTAGGCAAGAGGGGTCCAAGAACACAGGAGCAGCAATAAAAGTCATGATATGGTATGGCTGCCTTCCACTTTTGATGTCACCTTTTGGAAGCATGATGAGTGATGAGCACCTCCCACAGGGTTTGTCTATGCCTCACATGTGTCATGTTGCTCTCTCCTCACCCCACCACTAGCACACTAGCTGATGGCCATGTGGGCTGTGACCTTGAGCCTGGTGATCAGAGATGCAAGGCCTTTCAGTGGTTTTTGTGGTGGCCAGAGGTGCCCTCTGAGGACCCTAGCCACACTCACAGGCCTCTCTTTGCCTTCTCTCTGGAAAAGGGATCTGTCCTATATCAAGATCATGGATGTGGGCCAGAGCTACGTGGTGAACCGTGTGGCTGACCACATCCAGAGCCGCATCGTATATTACCTCATGAACATCCATGTGACCCCCCGCTCCATCTACCTCTGCCGGCATGGGGAGAGTGAGCTCAACCTCAAAGGCCGGATTGGTGGGGACCCAGGACTATCCCCCCGGGGCAGGGAGGTCAGTATGTGTGTGTGTGTGTGTGTGTGTGTGTTTTTGTGTGTGTGCATGCGCTGGGGTTGGGCTCCAGCTCTTGTAGCTAATGTGCAATGGAGGTGAATGACCTTTATGTAGCTGAGAGTATTCCCATCTTGTAGGAAAGGTCACCAAGCACCAAGCAAATCTCTGGGTCTCTGGTCTCTATGTGAGCTGTCACTGGCTGAACCTTTTTCCTCAGAGACAGGCCACTGAAAGTGACCTGGGTCTGTACAGGGCAGCTAGTAGTAGTTGTGCCACATACAGGGGGTATAGAAATATCTCAGTGGAGAGGTCATGTAGCCTAGGGCAGGGAGGCATTGCACTTGATGCGTTTGGGAGGTTGCACAAGAATGCACATGTGGCAGGGAGAGTGTAATCAAGAAATTAGTTCCTGCTTTTGCCAAATCTATGTTCTGAGTTTATTTGTGAACCTTAAGGATCCAATGGCTGTGGGGTCCTTTGGGGGCAGCCCAGGACCTGTGGGTCTGAATTTTGCTTATGATGTATTTCAGTTTGCCAAGAGTCTGGCCAAGTTCATCAGTGATCAGAATATCAAGGATCTAAAGGTCTGGACAAGCCAGATGAAGAGGACAATCCAGACAGCGGAGGCGCTGGGTGTACCCTATGAACAGTGGAAGGTCCTCAATGAAATCGATGCGGTACTTACCATCCCTTCCTTCACCTGCCTAAGTGTCCTGGGCATAACTATACTCACCCGTGATGACAGTGTCCAGGGGCAGGGAAAACTTTAGCCTTTTTTTGGGAGATAGAGCCTCAAGCTGTCTCCCTGGGTAGAGTGCTGTGGCATCACAGCTCACAACAACCTCCAACTCCTGGGCTCAAGTGAGTCTCCTGCTTCAGGCTCCCAAGTAGCTGGGACCACAGGTGCCCACCACAACACCCGGCTATTTTTGGTTGCAGCCATCATTGTTGTTTGGCGGGCACGGGCTGGATTCGAACCCGCCACCTTGGGTGTATGTGGCTGGCGCCTTAGCCACTTGAGCCACAGGTGCCGAGCCAGAAAACTTTAACCTTAACTTACTGTGTTGTTTTTTGATTCATCCCTCCCTCTCTTTTGCATTCAACTATCTAGATCAGTGGTTCTCAACCTTCCTAATGCTGCGACCCTTTAATATAGTTCCTCATGTTGTGGTGACCCCCAACCATAAAATTGTTTTAGTTGCTACTTCATAACTGTAATTTTGCTACTGTTACGAATTATAATGTAAATATCTGATATGCAGGGTGTATTTAGGCGGCCCCTGTGAAAGGGTCATTTGACTCCTAAAGGGGTTGCGACCCACAGGTTGAGAACCAATGATCTAGACTGACAAGAATTTATTTTAATAATCTGACAAAAGTCTTAAATCTGGTCCTTCCCCAGTTAACTCATTTATGTATAACCATCTATCTGCCCTTTTCCTATTACTTTCTTTTACTTAATTTTATATGAAAGTTCTTACATGTGATTTATGTATTTGTTCATGTACCAGTATCATACTGTTTTAATGATGATAGCTTTTTACTATGTTTATTGGCTATTTGGACAGCTTATTTTGAGTTGTTTTTGCTTTTTTTCCTATTGGATTGTCCATGTTTTTAAAATTGATTTTTATATAAACCTGGTAAGAGTTACTTGGTAGCTAGACAGTTTGTATGAAGAAATTTGGAGATAATTTGAAGCATTAGGTTAATGTTATCTTTCCCTAGAAGATGTACTTTTGTTTCAGGCAGACAGGGTTGGATCATCTTTTTTTGTTGTTGTTGCAGTTTGGCCAGGGCCAGGTTCAAACCTGCCACCCTGGATATATGGGGTTGGCACCCTGCCCTCTGAGCCACAGGAGCCACCTGGGTTGGATCATCTTTACCTAGGGAGGGACAGAGCTCTTTCCAAGCTGTGCTTTGATCTTTGTGGAGGCTACTTAATTTCCATGTTACTCCTACTCTTAGGGTGTAGCCTTTAAAGTTGTGATTAACATGTGAGCAAAAAGCTTCTATGTTTTGTCTCCTCAGCCCAAGATTGCTGACAACTCCTCCAAGCTTCTGCCCATTTAGTTCCTACTTTCTTCTTGGCTTCTCACTCTTTCAGCTGCTACTTTTGAATTGGTAAAACCTCAAAGGAAAAGGTGATGCCATATATTGGGTTCACATCTTGGGACTTCACTTTCCTTCAGCATCTTGACCCCTCATGTCCTACTGTCTTTATAACTCTGTGATGTCAGATTTAAAATTTTTTTTTATTAAATGATAGCTGTATACATTAATGCAATAATGGGGTATAATGTGCTGGTTTTATATACCATTTGAAATATTTTCATCAAACTAACATAGAATTTTTTTTTTTTTGAGACAGTCTCAAGGGTAGCGCCTGTGGTTCAGTGAGTAGGGCGCTGGCCCCATATGCTGAGGGTGGTGGGTTTGAACCTGGCCCCGACCAAACTACAACAAAAAATAGCTGGGTGTTGTGGTGAGCACCTGTAGTCCCAGCTACTCAGGAGGCTGATGCAAGAGAATCGCCTAACCCCAAGACCTGGAGGTTGCTGTGAGCTGTGACTCCATTGCACTCTACTGAGGGCGACAAAGTGAGACTCTGACTCTCTAGAAAAAAGAAAAGAGAGCATCTCAAGCTGTCGCCCTGGGTAGAGTGCCATGGTGTCACAGCTCATAGCAACTTTAAACTCTTGGGCTTAAGTGATTCTCTTGCCTAAGCCTCCCAAGTAGCTGGGACTACAGTGCCCATCACAATGCCCGGCTATTTTTTGTTGTAGTTGTCATTGTTGTTTTAGCCAGCTCAGGCCAGGGTTGAACCTGCCAGCCTTGGTGTATATGGCCAGCACCTTACCCACTGAGCTACAGGCGCTGCCCAGATTTAAAAATGTTTATCTCGCTTTTTAGCTGTTCTTACTGGATCATTAGTCTGAAACAGAAGCCTCTAATAGGATCAGATCTGAATCTTAGAAAGGTCATCCCTGGCAATCAACTGGTGTCAAGAATAGTTTTGTTGGCTGGGTGCTGTGGCTCACCCCTGTAATCCTAGCACTCTGGGAGGCTGAGGCAGGTGGATTGCCTGAGCTTAGGAGTTCAAGATCAGCCTGAGCAAGAGCAAGACCCTGTCTCTACTAAAATGAAAAAAAGTGAGGCAAGAGGATCACTTGAGTCTCAGAGTTCGAGGTTGCTGTGAGCTATGACACCATGGCACTCTACCCAGGGCAACAGAATGAGACTCTGTCTCAAAAAAAATAGAATGGTTTTGTTGAGGTGAGGTAGGGAGATAAGCTGAAGGAGGGAGACTAGTTGAGGGTGCTTACAGTGGCCTGGTAAAGTGATCTATAACCTGGGTGGTAGTGGGGGACAGAGGAGAGTGGATGGATTTGTGGGCTATTTATTCATTTATTCATCACACTTACATGAGACTACCATCTGCCAGAAACTGGACTGAGTTCTAGGGGCCAAGATTCTGATGGAGAACTGATAGAACTTGTGGGGGGTAAAAAGGAGCAAAGCATCTGGGGTGATTCCTGGTTTTTAGCCACTGGGAAGGGTTCTGAGGCGAAGGTGGCAGTTCACTCACATGAGGGCAGAACTGCTTTGTTCACCACACGGGAGGTGTGCAGTAAACACGTTCTGAATGAAAAAAAGTTTCTGGGGGAATATTCAAGAGCAGAGACCCAGAGGTAGTCTGATCTCTGAGGAGGGGTTGGGGCTTAGATATCCCCCACAGCCATGGGAATGGATGAGGTGCTGAAGGGCAGAGAAGCTGGTCAAAACTCTGGGGAGCCCCAGCATTTAAGGGTCTGTGGCAGGGTGTCAAGTGAGATGGGAGTGAAAGCAGGTGGCTGGGGTTGTGGAAGTCAGGGCAGAGAAAAGGAGGCAGTGGCTCGTGGGGCGAGATACTGCAGGGTGGGGTAATGAGGCCAGCTCTAAACTCACCATGGGCCTGGTGGGACTGGAGGGCAGTGAGGATGGGTAGGGGAGTGAGCCAGAGGCAAGTGGGCTCAGAGTAGAAGGAAGTTTGGCAGAGTGTAAGCTGACAAAGTTGCGCTGGTAGAAAGGAAGGAAGGAAAGGAAGATTCAGGAGTCTTTTAGAGGCCCACATTCCAGGGTATCAGAAGGTGAGAAGGGCACGGGTGGACACAGGGAACTGTGTTTGGTATCTTTCTCCTTAGAACCTTTCTCTGTGCCAGGTGTGGTGGCACACGCCTATAATCCTAGCACTCTAGGAGGCAGAGGCAGGTGAATTGCCTGAGCTTACCTGTTCAAGACCAGCAAGAGCCCGAATGAGACGTCGTCTCTAAAAATAGCTGGGAGTTGTGATGAGCACTTGTAGTCCTGGCTACTTGGAAGGCTGAGCCCAAGAGTTTGAGGTTGCTGTGAGTTGTGAAGCCATGGCACTTTACCAAGAGTGACAAAGACCCTTGTCTCAAAAAACCCTCCCAAAACAAAAAAACACCTTTTTCTGTGTAGTTATCACTGGTCCACAGAAAATCCAAGGCCGAATTCTTTGATGCTAGTAATTTGATCAGTTGATTCTCTTGGCTTTTCTTGAGAAAGGATCATATCTTCTGAAATAAGGGTAATACAGTTTTTGTCTTCGCATTTTAAGTGTCTTGTGTTTCTATTTCATATTATTGCATTGGCAAGAATAAGTGTTGGGCAAACTGGATGTCCTTGTTTTTGTTTTTGTTTTTTTTTGAGACAGAGCCTCAAGCTGTCCCCCTGGGTAGAGTGCTGTGGCATCACAGCTCA